CAGAAAAAAAATTCTATAAATCAATAAGTTATTCATATTTACAAAGAAAAAAAAATGTTTTTGAAATAATTTTCCTTTTAAGCTTAAATTTATTGATATTTTAACAAAATATTTCTTTCCTGTTACAGGTGTGAAACTAAACATAAAAGCATAGGACAGGCTAAGACAATATACCAAGATTAACACAGTAGCAAAGCAGGAAACGATTGTGAAAATTACCAATCTTAATGAAAATCCTTTCTATTTTTAATTACTGATTCACGCTTTTCTTTGTAAGTTTCGTAAAACATATATTAAGTTCGATTATGACCGAAACCACCTTCATAGTATTTCCTTTCAGACAAAATTACCTATGGTTAAGATATGTTTTTCTCACCTATATAATATGGACTAATTCATGTTCTGTTTCTAAGCGTTTTAAATCACACACACCCGTCGAAGACTTAAAGTTATAACATGTGTCTGTCAGTCCGTATGTCATATTAGTGCAACTATGTCGAACACTAATTCGATTATATAGCGTCAGATTTACTTTATTCTGAATATATTTTATGCGGGAATGAAATTAATGTGACTGCATTTTGTACATTTTCGTTTTGAGAAAAAAAAATCAGATATTTCTACAACATGTTTATTTCCTTTTTTTTTCAATTGGAATTTGTTGGATATTTCATTAAATAGGGATTAATTTTTCCTCAAACATATCAACTATTTGTTATTGTTACAAGAAACTATCTTGGTGATAGAATGACAAGATGTTTAATCTGTTGGTGAAAAAAAAGACAAGACAGTTACCATATATTTATATATTTCAGTTTAAATGATTTGATGGTGTTTTCCGAAATTTGCAATAGTTTATTCCTATGAATAAAACAATTAAAGGAGGTACATAACATTATAAAAAAAAACACACACACACAAATTATGAAAGCCATCTAGATGCCTTCAACAATAAAGTCAAATATTTAAGCAATATGTTTAGCTGCAAACCGACCTAAGTCTACAAAATGTTTGGGTTGATAGAACAGAAACTATAAAATGTCCTGAGCGACAAAAATATTAAAATATCTCTAACCACAACCACTGACGCGGTTCCTGAAATGAGACGAGCACATGTACATATTGCGAGGTTAATTAATTCTTTTCAACTGTGACAAAAGTCGCGTTTGATAGGTAACCTTATCTAGTACGTAGATTGGTCGTTATTGATCATATATCTTTTGGTGTAAACCTCAGATTCACGTTTCATTAGTTTGATTCAGTTTTCAGGCGAGGTCTTTTTCTCAGTAGCTTTGCAAAACTCGTCATTATGTGTTATGTTTCAGTCGAACATATGGTCTTAACCTCGTTTCCAGTGGTTATTGATATGTTTGGATTAAGGGTGTAGCTCAAGTTTAATACATTATAGGTTTACAATATTTCACATTTGAATTAGTTTCATGTACATGGGCAGTGGGTTGATTCAGTTTGAGACTTTATCGATCTTAATCCAATATTGTGAAGTGTTATTTCATAGACTGCTATAATCAAAATTTAAAAAGTGTTTATTTCTAATTTCTAGCCTTGGGTGGATTCTGCTGCTGGATGACTATTAGTCTCCGATGGTATCATCAGCTCAGTAGACAATGCTTTGTCATTGACATGATTTTAACATACCATTCTTACATTTCCTGTTGATGTACTAGTATTTAGAAATTTCTTTTAGAAACTCAGGTTCCAACTCCTTCAGGCAAAGCTGAGCTAAGATGGATTTGGCTATTCTTATATGTCCCATTTGGTCACACTTAGCTCCTCACTTATTCAAATACTTATGTACTAATTGCTTTCATATTTTTTAGTTTGAGCGTTCCTGATGAAGATGAACCAAGACACGTGCTTCGAACGCACCTACTTATAAAGTTGTTTTCCCATTTTGCAGCAGATATTAAATTTTACCTTTTCAACTCTGGTATAGCATTCAATTCATTTCTTAAATATCTATAAGTAGAATAAAAAATGGCACATAAAAGAATGTAAAATGAAAATTAGCATATCCAAAGCATTTCGTAAATCATATTGCTATGATAGCGAGAAACTTATAAGAGAAGTTTGTAATTCCGTGATAGATCATGATCGTTTACGGGATTCTAACAGGTGAATTTAATCTGGTGTGCAATAACTAGAAATTAATCCTTTCAAATCAAATATGGTAAAATTTTATTTTATATAATTGTACCTGTATCTCACGTTTGTTTCAACAACATTAAAATCCATCTTTATATACATTTGTATTACCACAGAGATGTTTTGTTAAATGTTAATGAACACGCTAAATAAATATTTTTTGCATATTTTATAACAGCAACAACTTCCTATTATATTGGCGAAACGAAAAAATTGTTAAAAAACTTCATCTAATATTTTTATTTAAATAAAAGTTTTGTTTAAACAATAAGCCGGAAGAAATGAAATGAAAATAGTTCATCATTTGTAACTGAAAAATTTAATATAAGATAACAAAAATCGTTCAAAGTTTGAACATTTAGCAAAAAAGGACATATTTTATTTCATTTTTTATTTTATGTATTAAGAGATCTAATCCGTATGATGAAGGACAACGTTCGAAGGCTGTGCTGAAAGCAATTATTGAAAATATAAAACTGTTTACCAAGAATCATAAAGAAACGGTCATAACTAATGGAACAGATATTTTGGCGTGATTGAAATTTAATTATAGTTCATATTCATCAATTATAAACATGATCAATTTATATTTCAAAAATTTATAACTATAAGATATTTTTACGCTATGCTATATTAAAAAGTAGCGAAAACAAAAGATTGTAAAAATTGGTAGAATTCAAAGAAAAAAAAACACAAAAGATAGACATCGCAGAGTAGTGCATAGAAAACAATATTAATAGTAATTCAAATCAGGGGCGAACTTCAGGGGGGAGGGGGTACTAATGTGTGATTTATATTGAACGCTTAACACATACCATACTATAAAAAACTAGGGATGTTAAAGAAAATATTTTTTTTTAAATTATGAACAACAATGCATTTATATAAATAGATATGTTATAACTGACAATCACCAAAGATCAAATCACATGTATGTAGTACCTTTGTGTATCTTTGTGTATTACTACACAACTACCTTCGTCGATATGAACAAACTTATTGACAATATAATACAAAATTCTTAACCCCTTGTTATTGACCATACGGAAAAGTTTGTTAAACAAATATGATATTCTTATTTAATCATATCTAATAAACCATAAGCCGTAAAGGTTTCCCTTAATACTTTGAAGTCACAATTGTATTTAATAACGAGGAAGATGTTCTATTTGAAACAAAGCTTAAATGTGTAGATACTTTGTACACAGAAAACAACACTAATATTTTTTGCTTCCCAATTGTGAACATTCCATTTCTATGTAGCAACGTTCAAGCAGCCCCTGCATACAGAGTTTATATCTCCTAGTTGATACAATATTCCAGGGCTTGTTTTTCCTATCACTATCATGATTTCCTTGATAGAGGGTTGCTGCTCACAAGGAAGCTGTAAAACCAAGAGTTCCAAGTGGTGAAGTTGAAATCATACCTTCGTAAGTTTTAAGGACGCCATCACGAGTTGGTTGTCCGTTATGGAATATCCGTTTCACAGATGATAGCGGATATGTTCCTAATGTCGTAACCGAATAAGACTTATTACCGGGTTTGTACTAACATGAGCAACACGACGGGTGCCACATGTGGAACAGGATCTGCTTACCCTTCCAGAGCACCTGAGATCACTCCCAATTTTTGGTGGGGTTCGTGTTGCTAAGTCTTTAGTTTTCTATGTTGTGTTTTGTGTACTATTGTTTGTCTGTTGGTCTTTTTCTTTTAAGTCATGGCGTTGTCAGTTAATTTTCGACTTATGAGTTTGAATGTCCCTCTGGTATCTTTCGCCTCTCTTTTGTGTCTTTCATTTTTATGGTAATTGTTTTTTGTGCTCTGTGTGATCTGATGATTGAAGCCATTTCCAACCAATTTTTACAGTTTGGTCTTGCGTTGTGCTGTTACTACATTGTCCCGTGTGAGAGGGGGTAATGGGTAGTGTGGAACGCTCGCACTTTACACGCTTAACCCCATCACATTATGTATGTGTCTGTCCGCGGTCAGGAACCTGTTATTTAGTGGTTGTCGTCTGTTAAATCAGTTTCGTTTAGTGTTTTATCATAACTCAATCCGTTAGTTTTTTTTTGTTAGGACCTTTTTTTATCTTACTATACGGTAAGGGTTTCACTCATTGTTGAAGGGGGTATGGTTACTTATAATTGCTTTAAATCCACGTCATTTAGACCTTGTTTGATAGTTGTGTCATTGGCAATCAAACCACATCTTCTTTAAATTTTATCTTAAATTTGTGACTGTTCGGAAATTAAAATTAGAACAGTTAACACATTGGGCACTTCGGAATAATTTGATTCTGATATCAAGTTAAAGAAAGATAATTCTTAATCGACATCTATATTCTTAATATCCATTCTGACATTTATCTCCCTCATGCCCAGCTCTGATTCCTTGCCCGGCTTTGGCTATACTTTTTGTCCTTTTTGGTTTATAAGCTGTTCATATTTTTAATAAGTTTTCGATTGTCAAAAATTTTTGCCTCGAGCATCACTAAAGAGACATTTATTGTCGAAATGCACATCTGGTGCAGAAATAATGGTACCGTTAATGTTATTAACAACGCCATGGTCAAAAGTATTTTACAATTGGTCCTTACTGATGTTGTTCACACTTTCAAATAAGCTCATAACCGGAAATTTCAGACATAGTCTGCTAAAATTTAATGTGTTTTGTTGAATTATATTTCTTGAATTAATAAATATGTTTGATTTTTAAAACTTAATTGTGAATATTTATTAAAATATTTATAAAAAAATGCAAAATTTTAATCTATAAATATAAATATGAATATTTTTGGGACTTTCAAGGTGCTTCCTTAATTTACACTTTTTATAAAACGCGTAAAAAAAATCCAGCTATTTCAAAAGAAAAGAAAAAGCCTGTTGGATTAACTTCCCTAGTAGGTCAGTAAATAATTTTACGCTTTTTGCTGTAAATGAGTTTTTGGAATAGTTGGTAAAGTAGATAATAAACTTTTATATCCATGCATAATTTGATAATTTACAAAAAACACATAATAAGGATATAACAACAAAAAAGATAAAATAAAAAACCATCACTACCACTATGCAATATGTTTATTTTGTGCCTGTCAGTGTATGTGTTGAAAGTATTATACTCAGTTTTATCATACTATACAAACCACTGATCCCTTTCATGCGTTTATTCAAAGTGTGTGTCAAAATATTTAAGGATATTTATATAAATATGAAAGTTTGCATTAGCCCTTTACAGCTATTTCCATGTAATTTTCATATTGGAAAAGAAAATCAAATGAAGCAAAATATTCAAAAAGTTAAATTTACATTACCGTGAGAGAAAAAAAATGCTTTCCCAGGATAGCCGTTTTTCATTTCATTTAAACGGCTTGCTTAAGAGATCCCGCAATTGTTCATTCGTCTCAACATTTTAATCTACAAACTATCATGATGACTATGTAGATGACAGTCACACTCGTGCCTCGCGTACTAATTTATAAGCCTAGAATCTCTAATGAGTTTCTACTAATTATCATGATCTTTTTTAGTCGAGTTAAGACCAACACATTGTATTATAGACTTAGGTTAAGATTTGATGATTGTTTTTATTATGATCCATAAATACATATATATAAGTTCACGTACAAGCTTCCGTGTATCATGTAAAAACTATTGAATTTAGAATGTATGATGAATCAATTGAATGCATTCAAAGCATAATTATACACAAGTAGGAAATGAAATTCAACCCGCCTTATACAATCATAACAACAACAAAAAAAAACCTGTTCCCGGGATGACGCACTGTCATAAGGAAACGTTACTTACGATATTATAATAATAAGTTAAACTTAGAATCAAGAGTTAATAGAATGCATGAGAAAGTTTAGACATATTTTTCTATTGACATTTATTAAACTAAAACGATTAAAGAGGAACATGTATACGTATACAATTAGTACTTCTTGGAAAGTCCATGCTTCTGCTAATATTGTCTTTTTTGTTTATCTGAAATTACATTTTTTTACCAAGGATGTTCACAGCAGGTATGCAAATACCCAATAAGAGGGATCAACGACAATAATGCATGCTGTTTCAAGAGATAAATTCTGTTTATATGAATAGTGAGAGGTAGAACACGATGTTATTTAAAAATGAGACAATATGCATGGTTGTCGGGATTGCTGGAATCATATATTTCGTTATTACACTAGTGGGATTCATCTATTGTAAAATCAGAAATATTACATGCTGCCATGAAACACATCAGGAAAGCAGTAACGAGGTAATTATTTACCCGATTTGTTATATTTGTTAATAACAAAGGTAAACTTTCTATATTATACATTTATTTCCCGTGCCTGAGGGAGATATGAAGATTTGTTCACCCAAGAAAATTCATATTTTCCGAGGGTCCCGCCAGAGGGAAATATGACTTTTCGAGGGTGAAGAAATCTTCATATCTCCCTAAGTCAAGGGAAATGAATGTTTTATTCCACTGCCTATACTTTGTTTACAACCAAGTAACTGAACATAAAACAATAATTTATATACATTTTTCTTAACCACTTGTTTTCATAACTAAACACGACATAATTTAAAATATTGATAAACAGTACCGATCAAAAGATAATTATCTATTATTATTGTTTTGATTTTACGTCTGAAATAATTTTGAACACGATAGTGACTTTACCATCGCAATTTAATAACGTTCAAAACATTACTATATTAACCGCGCGTAACGTCGCACGGGCAAGTCCCGATGTTCAGACTGGAATATGATACTCAGAGGGGAATATGAAGTTTTGTTCAGTGTCACCTGGAATGGTCTCAACCAATCAAACATTGATTTAGCTATCAAATTTGATATACAGTGGAATAATATTTGTTATTATTCTTCATGTTTAGCGTATTTGGTTTTTGATGGACGGGCCGGGGTGAATACTATTTACTAATCTAATTAAATTCATTTTTTTATTGTTTAAAATTTTCAAATGCAATCTCCTAAGTTATACCTTAGCTTATTTACAAAATGTTTAAACGGAATAAAGATACCAAGGTAGTAATTTTGTACGCCAGACGCGCGTTTCGTCTACATTATATTCATCAGTGGAGCTGGAATCAAAACAAAAAAGAAGTTAAATCAATAGTATTCGCCCCATCCAACAAAAAATATTCACTCTCTCACTTTTTTTACATACATGTATATGCATTAACGCAGAAAGAACATATACAAATAACAGTCTGGTAGTTAATGTTTCTATTATTTCTTGTAATTAATTAACATTTATGTTATGCAAATTTATATATCTTTCGAAAAAAGAATAACGCAACAGTTGATTTACTTCATATAAATAGTTTAAGATTGAAAGAGAAGAGGGTATTAGAGAATCAGGTGTTTGTGGAGAGCTGGACCCAACACTGCAGCGCTATGGTAAAAATCCCACGCATGACAGCAACTTGAGAGCAAAAGAATCAGATGAACAAGGGGTATACTATCAATATATATTATAATATTTACAGTAGGTGTTCAATTCATACAAATGCCGATCTTTTATTTACTGAAAGACGAATCATTTGATTCCGTCATATGCAATTGATATGAAAGCTACTGACCATCAAATTTTAAGCTAGAAGCGACACTGTGATTCATTCAAAATGTGATTGTCGTTTGCTTTCATTTCGTATAAATTAAAAAAAAAAAAGTATTCAATTCTGTAATGGATTTCAGTATGCTGAACCTAACCATACATCTATTCAGATGTGTATAGCTTAAACTAGCCACTCGAATCTGGAGTTTGCAAATGTTCTGTCAACATAAGTCAGAAATAAATTCAGTATTTATAATTCATAAACATGTTTGTTTGTTTGTTTGTTTGTCTGTTGGTGTTAAGCACACTTTTAGAGACCTTGAATGTGCCATGGCGGCCCCCCATTTTCCTGTGGCTGTACAAATATCACGCCCCTCATTCCAGTCGATCTTTTTTGCTCTAGGTGTACCTATTGTTTAAGTTCTAGTCCTGAACATATAATATGTTTTTGCAAAAAGAAATGGTAGTGTTTTTTAAATAATCAAAATGGATACAATCAGTGATCAATTTTTTACATCGTATATTCACATTGTCGTAGAATACCTATTTCAAATATAACCAAAGGAAAATTAAATGTATAGATGTTCCTTTCTATAAGTCAAAATAATTACAACACTTCTATTTGCGATGTATTTTGAAATTTATAGAGAAATCAATTGTTCCCAGAATTTTTTAATTGCATGGGCAAGGAAAAATCCAGAGGTGTAGGAAAATATGGAGGGAAACTTATTAAATTAATTCAAAGTTCAGGGAGAAACTATCTTTATGACTTGAAAATCAATGAGCGGGTGAATAATTCTAACGCTATTCAATTAATCATGTACTGTTGTGAGAAATGATAAAACCAGACAAAACATCCCTTATCAACTTTTGAAATGTTAATCGAAGTTAAAATGAAACGGAAAATATATCCCCTCCAAGAACCCCCAAGCTCCTGTGACAACTCAAATGTACAAATGTGTAAGACTGGTGACTAGACAAATACACATATGTAAACATCAAAGTTAAACGAACACATTAGTTTAAAACTTTGTGGATAAAACCTATAATTCAAACTTGGAGAAGTCTGAGGATCCGTATGGTTATGCATATGTACTAAACAGAACAGTTGTTGATTAAACATAATTATTACGAACAGATTATTTAGGATTCAAAGGGGAACTGTGGATCAGACATATTACAATAATTTCTAACTGATATACGGACGATCGTTTTGCTTTAAAAAAATATTACATTATTTAGTAGATATATTGGAAATAAAAAAGTACATATCACGGTACTATTACAATATTCAATATTTTATTTTTGTAGGAGCCAAAATATGATTATGCAGTCACAGGAGAAATATCTAGATGCACAGGTAATGAATCACAGAAAAGTCAAAAAGAGGTAAATAAACTAATGTAATAATGGTTTCAGAAGTAGAAAATTTTTTAAAATTTATTATATTGTATCTTCTTTAATTCTCTATATTTCAAAAACAAAATGATATGTATTTTTCAGTTTATCATATGTAAAAACATATGTTCTATAAGCTATTGTTGATGTCAGATAGTCATCACAATTACAAGTGCTATGTCGGACAATGATTGCGATTACCTTTGGGTAAAACTATTCCAGTCGTTGAAGCTGTTTCTGGGAAATGACGGTTTGTGTTTAACTCCAGTTGCAGCCAATTGTTTAGTATATTGACTGTAAATTGTTAATTAAAACTTGTCGATGTTAAAATGAAAGATTTGCGAAAGACCATATTTTTATCTTGGATTGACAATATTGGTTCTGTTTATTGAGTAGTTGCAAGAAACAGCCAAATCCGAGAGTGGCACATTCTGAAACTATGTCCCGCGGCCATTTTAGTTTTATGATTGGTCTAAAAATCACTTATTTTTTGAAAGATGATAATATTGCATCAACGCTTAATATATTTGCTGTAAAGATTTGTTTACATATGTGTTTCATGTATGGCGATTTTAATAAAATTAGGTAGGGTTATTCTGCTTTTCAGCCTATCTTAAAACATAAAACTAGAGGCTCACCTGCATCTTCAACAATGGCCACTTTTAGTAAAATCATCATAAAAGGGGAATAACTCTATTTAGACTTAACTGACAATTTCAATCATGTTAGCATATTTGTAGATCTTATTCTGCTGATAATTTTTCCTGTTTTAAGTTTCTATTTATCTATTATAGTTTTCAAGATAATAGGCAAAACAACGTTAAAAATTATCATTAAAGGCAATAAATATAATAATGAGTCGACTGAAGATTTCGACCATTACACTGTATGGCTTATTTGTGGATCTTGTCTTGCTGATCATTTGTGTCATTTAAAGATTTATATATCTATTACAGTTTTCAAGATAATAGGCAAAAATGGGAAAAATCGTCATTAAAGGGCAATATCTTTAATAAGAATTTGACTAAAAATTTCGGTCATGTCATTTATATGTAGATCTTGTTTTGCTGATAATTTTTGCTATTGAAAGTTCCTATTTATCTAATATATATAGTTTTTAAGATATTAGGCAAAAACGCAAAAAATAAATAAAATGTAAAAATCGTCTTTATAAGGCAATCACTCTAATAAGGAATCGACTGAAGATTTCGGTCATCATGGCTTATTTGTGGATCTTGTCTTGCTGATCATTTGTGCTATTTAAAGTTTTATCTATCAATTACAGTTTTCAAGATTTGTTCACCCAAGAAAATTCATATTTTCCGAGGGTCCCGCCAGAGGGAAATATGACTGTTCGAGGGTGAAGAAATCTTCATATCTCCCTAAGTCAAGGGAAATGAATGTTTTATTCCACTGCCTATACTTTGTTTACAACCAAGTAACTGAACATAAAACAATAATTTATATACATTTTTCTTAACCACTTGTTTTCATAACTAAACACGACATAATTTAAAACATTGATAAACAGTACCGATCAAAAGATAATTATCTATTATTATTGTTTTGATTTTACGTCTGAAATAATTTTGAACACGATAGTGACTTTACCATCGCAATTTAATAACGTTCAAAACATTACTATATTAACCGCGCGTAACGTCGCACGGGCAAGTCCCGATGTTCAGACTGGAATATGATACTCAGAGGGGAATATGAAGTTTTGTTCAGTGTCACCTGGAATGGTCTCAACCAATCAAACATTGATTTAGCTATCAAATTTGATATACAGTGGAATAATATTTGTTATTATTCTTCATGTTTAGCGTATTTGGTTTTTGATGGACGGGCCGGGGTGAATACTATTTACTAATCTAATTAAATTCATTTTTTTATTGTTTAAAATTTTCAAATGCAATCTCCTAAGTTATACCTTAGCTTATTTACAAAATGTTTAAACGGAATAAAGATACCAAGGTAGTAATTTTGTACGCCAGACGCGCGTTTCGTCTACATTATATTCATCAGTGGAGCTGGAATCAAAACAAAAAAGAAGTTAAATCAATAGTATTCGCCCCATCCAACAAAAAATATTCACTCTCTCACTTTTTTTACATACATGTATATGCATTAACGCAGAAAGAACATATACAAATAACAGTCTGGTAGTTAATGTTTCAATTATTTCTTGTAATTAATTAACATTTATGTTATGCAAATTTATATATCTTTCGAAAAAAGAATAACGCAACAGTTGATTTACTTCATATAAATAGTTTAAGATTGAAAGAGAAGAGGGTATTAGAGAATCAGGTGTTTGTGGAGAGCTGGACCCAACACTGCAGCGCTATGGTAAAAATCCCACGCATGACAGCAACTTGAGAGCAAAAGAATCAGATGAACAAGGGGTATACTATCAATATATATTATAATATTTACAGTAGGTGTTCAATTCATACAAATGCCGATCTTTTATTTGCTGAAAGACGAATCATTTGATTCCGTCATATGCAATTGATATGAAAGCTACTGACCATCAAATTTTAAGCTAGAAGCGACACTGTGATTCATTCAAAATGTGATTGTCGTTTGCTTTCATTTCGTATAAATTAAAAAAAAAAAGTATTCAATTCTGTAATGGATTTCAGTATGCTGAACCTAACCATACATCTATTCAGATGTGTATAGCTTAAACTAGCCACTCGAATCTGGAGTTTGCAAATGTTCTGTCAACATAAGTCAGAAATAAATTCAGTATTTATAATTCATAAACATGTTTGTTTGTTTGTTTGTTTGTCTGTTGGTGTTAAGCACACTTTCAGAGACCTTGAATGTGCCATGGCGGCCCCCCATTTTCCTGTGGCTGTACAAATATCACGCCCCTCATTCCAGTCGATCTTTTTTGCTCTAGGTGTACCTATTGTTTAAGTTCTAGTCCTGAACATATAATATGTTTTTGCAAAAAGAAATGGTAGTGTTTTTTAAATAATCAAAATGGATACAATCAGTGATCAATTTTTTACATCGTATATTCACATTGTCGTAGAATACCTATTTCAAATATAACCAAAGGAAAATTAAATGTATAGATGTTCCTTTCTATAAGTCAAAATAATTACAACACTTCTATTTGCGATGTATTTTGAAATTTATAGAGAAATCAATTGTTCCCAGAATTTTTTAATTGCATGGGCAAGGAAAAATCCAGAGGTGTAGGAAAATATGGAGGGAAACTTATTAAATTAATTCAAAGTTCAGGGAGAAACTATCTTTATGACTTGAAAATCAATGAGCGGGTGAATAATTCTAACGCTATTCAATTAATCATGTACTGTTGTGAGAAATGATAAAACCAGACAAAACATCCCTTATCAACTTTTGAAATGTTAATCGAAGTTAAAATGAAACGGAAAATATATCCCCTCCAAGAACCCCCAAGCTCCTGTGACAACTCAAATGTACAAATGTGTAAGACTGGTGACTAGACAAATACACATATGTAAACATCAAAGTTAAACGAACACATTAGTTTAAAACTTTGTGGATAAAACCTATAATTCAAACTTGGAGAAGTCTGAGGATCCGTATGGTTATGCATATGTACTAAACAGAACAGTTGTTGATTAAACATAATTATTACGAACAGATTATTTAGGATTCAAAGGGGAACTGTGGATCAGACATATTACAATAATTTCTAACTGATATACGGACGATCGTTTTGCTTTAAAAAAATATTACATTATTTAGTAGATATATTGGAAATAAAAAAGTACATATCACGGTACTATTACAATATTCAATATTTTATTTTTGTAGGAGCCAAAATATGATTATGCAGTCACAGGAGAAATATCTAGATGCACAGGTAATGAATCACAGAAAAGTCAAAAAGAGGTAAATAAACTAATGTAATAATGGTTTCAGAAGTAGAAAATTTTTTAAAATTTATTATATTGTATCTTCTTTAATTCTCTATATTTCAAAAACAAAATGATATGTATTTTTCAGTTTATCATATGTAAAAACATATGTTCTATAAGCTATTGTTGATGTCAGATAGTCATCACAATTACAAGTGCTATGTCGGACAATGATTGCGATTACCTTTGGGTAAAACTATTCCAGTCGTTGAAGCTGTTTCTGGGAAATGACGGTTTGTGTTTAACTCCAGTTGCAGCCAATTGTTTAGTATATTGACTGTAAATTGTTAATTAAAACTTGTCGATGTTAAAATGAAAGATTTGCGAAAGACCATATTTTTATCTTGGATTGACAATATTGGTTCTGTTTATTGAGTAGTTGCAAGAAACAGCCAAATCCGAGAGTGGCACATTCTGAAACTATGTCCCGCGGCCATTTTAGTTTTATGATTGGTCTAAAAATCACTTATTTTTTGAAAGATGATAATATTGCATCAACGCTTAATATATTTGCTGTAAAGATTTGTTTACATATGTGTTTCATGTATGGCGATTTTAATAAAATTAGGTAGGGTTATTCTGCTTTTCAGCCTATCTTAAAACATAAAACTAGAGGCTCACCTGCATCTTCAACAATGGCCACTTTTAGTAAAATCATCATAAAAGGGGAATAACTCTATTTAGACTTAACTGACAATTTCAATCATGTTAGTATATTTGTAGATCTTATTCTGCTGATAATTTTTCCTGTTTTAAGTTTCTATTTATCTATTATAGTTTTCAAGATAATAGGCAAAACAACGTTAAAAATTATCATTAAAGGCAATAAATATAATAATGAGTCGACTGAAGATTTCGACCATTACACTGTATGGCTTATTTGTGGATCTTGTCTTGCTGATCATGTGTGCCATTTAAAGATTTATATATCTATTACAGTTTTCAAGATAATAGGCAAAAATGGGAAAAATCGTCATTAAAGGGCAATATCTTTAATAAGAATTTGACTAAAAATTTCGGTCATGTCATTTATATGTAGATCTTGTTTTGCTGATAATTTTTGCTATTGAAAGTTCCTATTTATCTAATATATAGTTTTTAAGATATTAGGCAAAAACGCAAAAAATAAATAAAATGTAAAAATCGTCTTTATAAGGCAATCACTCTAATAAGGAATCGACTGAAGATTTCGGTCATCATGGCTTATTTGTGGATCTTGTCTTGCTGATCATTTGTGCTATTTAAAGTTTTATCTATCAATTACAGTTTTCAAGATAATAGGCAAAAATGGGGAAAATCGTCATTAAAGAGCAATAACTTCAATAAGGATTTGACTTACAATTTTAGTCATGTTAACTTATTTGTAGATCTTGTCTTGCTGATCAATTTTGCTATTTAAAGTTCCTATCTATCTAATATAGTTTTGAAGATATTAAGCAAAAACGCAAAAATGAAATAAAATGTGAAAATTGTCATTATAAGGCAATCACTCTACTAAGGAGTCGACTGCAGATTTCCGTTATGTTGACTTTTTTGTAGCTCTTGTCTTACTGATCATTTTTGCTATTCAAGGTTTCTATCTATCCATTATAATTTTTGAGATAATGAGCAAAAATTTTTAAAAATGGTAAAATTCATCATATAAGGGCAAAAACTCCTACAAGACGTCATCTAACAGTTTTGACGTAAATGAACAATTGGTAGAGCTAAACATTCTAAACATGTTTGACCTGTCAGATTTTCTCTTTTCATAGCGGTTTTCAAAATAATACACAAAACTTGCATTTAACCCCTATGTTCTATTTTTAGCCATGTCGGCCATCGTTGTTGGCAGGCTGTGATCATCGGACACATTTTTCAAACTAAATAACCCAATGATGATTGTGGCCAAATTTGGTTAAATTTGGCTTAGTAGTTTCAGAGGAGAAGATGTTTGTAAAAGTTAATGACGACGGACAACGACGACGACGACGACGATAGACGACGAGGGACGACGGACGCCAAGTGATGAGAAAAGCTCACTTGGCCTTTCGGCTAGCTATAGGTGAGATTAAAAATGAAAATATTAACATCATCCTACTTACATTATTTTACTATCGTTTGTAAAATTTTAAATAAGTATTGTCCATACTCCCTGTATAAACGATGTACTAGGTAGCCAGCAATGGCGTGTTTCGGATCAAGGTTCACATCTTTATTTCGAGTAATAAATAACCTTTATGTATCATAATTTTACTGTCTGCAAAGCGGTTTCCATGTAAAAGCTCTTTAAATGTTTAACTGCATGTTTTTGTATTAAACCCTTGAGTTTTCTTTCAAGACATTTCCGTTACTTGTTGTAGACGGAAGAAAAGAGATTATTTAAAACAAATTTTGGAACTCTTTATGCTAGTTTAATATCAATGTACATAGTTTTCTTTAATGTTCAAAAGTCAATAGACCACAAAAAGAAAAATACGAGTAAAAACGAAACAGAGACCAACAAGAAAGCTGATGAGCCTGCGGTTATTGAAGACACTGAATTTAAAAGGGTATATATAGTTTCGGAATCTGAAATTCACATTAACGATTAATCTAAACGTTACAGCATTTAGTTTGATTTGCTTATTCTATTTCTCCCTTTCTCAACAAAATAATACATATTACTCAGCAGTATTAAACCGGTTCACCTCAATATTCAACACTGTAGAACATTTTAAAAGTTTGTTCATTACAGGGTGTCATTAATTTAAAAACGGCAGCTTCCTAGTCAAAACAAATTACAATTTAACAATAGGAAATGTTGGTTAAATGTAAACGAGACACTATATCACAAAAAAATAAAAAGAGACAAACTTAAGGTCAATAAATGGTCCAAAATTTCGAAAAAAATAAGTCGAAAAAATAGATGACACACAATTTGGCAAATGAAAAGACAAACAACATTTCACTACAGAAAAAAACTAAAGACTGAGCAACCCGTATATAAGCAGCAACTGTATAATAATGTACATATATGTATATAACTCTAAATCGCCATAGTATCGATACCATGCATCAAACTCAACCACCATAGTATCTATACCATGTATTAAGCTATAAATCATCCAAGCATCCATACCAAGTATCAAACTCTAAATCGGCAAAGTATCGATACAAAGTATCAAACTCTAAATCGCCATAGTATCCATACCATGTATCAAACTGTTAAATTCCCAAGTATCCTTACTACATATTAAGCTCTATATCTTCCAAATGTCCATACCATGTATCACGCTTAAAATTACCAATCTATCTATACCATATACCAAACTCGAAATCGCCCTTCTATCCATATCATGTATCTTAATCGTTCAAGTAAGACAAGATTTGAAGAAAGAGATCTTTGGAATCAATGGGACGTTTCTTTTTATGTTAGAATCACTATTACAACACACTTTAAATATATTTTTCTTAAATTTATATTTTCCCCTTAATTGAACAGCACATGGTCATGTGAATAATTCTTTTGTAGACTGAATTTAGTTGTATTGTTTGTTCTATATTTCACTTAAACCTTATTAACTATGTTCTCTTTTAGAAAAAAAAGGCGAATGCAAATAAGCCAATCAAAAGAACATGTTTGAAAAGTGGCACAGTACATTATGAAAATGAAGTGGATACCCCTGTAAACAAGGTACCATTGACTAAAAAGGAAATAAAAATGTCTACATCAACTCTAGATTATATTTCACTTAACTATAAAATCACGGGTTCGTTTTCAAAATGAGTAAAATCGAATCTGCTATTGAAATGTTCACTATTTTTCTGAAAACCATCAATAATTATCATAGTATCTTTATAATCGTCATCTGAATTATTTATAGGTGTAGACAAAGCCTCATCAAAGATACCAGGCTCGTAATTTGATATGCAAGTTAAGACGCATAGAAGACTGACCAGTGTCACCTTTAATATATATTTATATGTGTTATGTTTTGTTTAGTTCAACTCGTTACTCCTTTCCAAGTGAATTCTAAGAAAATCAGGAAAAGGGTTTTATACAAAATATATTATGAAGATGAACATTGAAGACTTACAGCATTGTGGCTGCGTCACATGCTGTTACTTTATTTGTCATTTAATTTGCTTATTTGATATTTTACAAATTCCTTTCAATTCCTTTAGGCAAACGATGACACTGAAAATGAAAGTGTTAGTGACACGTCTTATGTTCAAATGAGAAAAACAGATAGTGCATCTAACCAGTATGAGAATGAAGGCAATAAAATTTCTTCAAATGAGGTAATTTTACAATTCTTCGGCATTTTAATAAAAGAATATAAAATCTCACTTTGTTTTACCAATGCATGAGTGTTTGATATACATTATAGAAGTTTTCCTATGTTGTCAATATAATAAAATAACATTTATGAACGATTCTTTATGTACATGCTTATAATAAAAGAGTTATAAAGTGTTAATCAATATTTAAGCATCGTATAAGGGTACTATCTTTAAACTAAAATAATATAGACCATTATTAAATTAGATATATATAAATATAAGATTTTTTTCATAAGCAGCCTATTATTGTTTAGCAAGTATCTATTGAGTTTTCTCGCTTTGTACACCGTATGAGTTATCAGTTTTGTAAATATTTTCCTCGATAAGTCGTGTAAGCATGCCAGTCTATTCCCAGACTCCAAAAGCTGCGTACTATTTGATCTCAAAGGCCATTGACCCTTCAAGTTAAGCTATTTGTTTAGTGTAATTGGTAAGTGCTATCAAAGTCTATAGGGAATTGCTTTGTCAAAGTAACTTTTAGTCCAAAAAAAAATGGCAAAACTACTAGGATTGTGAATGTTTTCAAATTTGAAAGCTTATGACACGTCTATTTGAAATGATAAGAAACTTCCATTTGTTTTCTAAATACATGTGATAGTTCTTCGCATTAGAATATTAAATTTAAAAAGTTATCGAAAACCTGTTGCATATGGTAATAAAACTATCTTTGAAATGTTTGGATAAAATAGAAAACTTTCACTCTCACTATTTTTCTTGCGTTTTGCATTTCAGCATGAAAGTAACGTTTATGAGAGTGTGCATGGTTTGTCAAAAAAGATGGTAAGTTCGTTTGCATACGTTTAGTTTTGGAAGAACCCTAAAGTTAAAGAAGAAAAACCGTCGATTTGTCAGACTCGGATGATATTTATATTGTTGGCATATGCTTTATAAACTTATAATTTGAGTACTTTTTATCAACATATAGCAATTCGTTTGTTTTACAGTTTGAAAATAAATGGTGTGGTATGATTGCCAATGAGACTACTCCCCACCAGAGACTAAATGACAGAGAAGTTAGCAACTATAGGTTACCGTACGGCTTTAAGCGATGAGCAACACCCATACCACAAAGCAAGTCATAAAAAGGCCCCGAAATGACAAATTTAAAACAATTCAAACTAGAAAACCAACGGCCTGATTTATGGACAGGCACATATAGATGTGGCAGGGTTAAACATGTTTGCAGGCGCAACACCATCCCCTAACCTTGAACAGTGGTGTAATAGCATAAAATAAGAACAAACTATATAAATCAGTTGAAAAGGACTTGACTCATCCGATCGATACAAAGCACAAAAATAACTTATAAACACACTAAAGACACAAAGTTCAGATCTGACAGTACGCGCAGATACAAATCGAAGAACAAAACATTGCGTGAAATTCGCAAGATTCAACAAATTTACAGGGTGAGCATCGCCTCCACTATATGTATCCTCAATAACATTCAACAGTCATATCAAGTAATTTTGTCAAACAGGAACATTACACATCCTTTAATGATGTAAGGTTCACAAAAGTTTAAATGTGAGATTTTTTACAGATAAATGTCACCATAGAATTGAATAAATTAAGACTCTGTATCTGCCGACCAATTAATACATGTCATAGTAACCGATGTCTTGTAAGGTAGAACTTACCTGACCAATATACACAGTCCGTTTGATGTCTTCTGTCTCATTTTTTCATTCTATTGTTGTTTTAAGTTTTTGTGATATATAAAATTTACTCCAGATGACCGTCGTAGACATAGATATTGAAGCCAATAACGATGAATGTATGGCAACATCAGACAAAGGTATTAGTGACAATATGAGCCACAAAAAATTGAACACAGACAGAGACAATCTACAAACTTCAAATACCAATTATATAGAAAACAGAGAGAGAGAACATGGTGAAAGGTTGGGAAAAAGGGACTCTTACAGTAATAGAGAGAGCCAGGGAAGTGGTCAAAGCAACGAGAGCAGAAAAAGTGATGAAAGCGAGGAAAGCAATGATAGTAACAATAGTAGATCTACAGATATATCTGTTCGTTCTGACAATACAGATATATCTGTTCGTTCTGACAATTCTCCAAGAGAATCAGCACCATCAACAAACCCTAGTCAAGACAGTAGTGCTACGTACATCAATGTTTATGCAAAACATATTCAGATTGGTCCGAGCACTATTGTCCACATGCATACAGATTAGCATATAGTAAAAAATTAATGTATCTATCTATAAATAACAAAGTGAAGAATGTTAGAGGTCGTAGTTTATGTTCTCTAAATTTATAAATCCATTTGGAATATATCAATTATGCGGGAAAACCGGAGGGAATCGTATGAAGTCTAAACGGAACGAGTCCGAGTGCATCAACATGGTAAACGTCTCCTGCTTACATATATCACTCTTCATACTTCATACAAAATCAGACTCATAAAAATATGTCACTAGAGATGGGACACAAGCAATATGTTTAGATCAGACGACATTTCTGATGTATTTAGATTACAATATCTTTGAAAACAGATTTGCATAAAATTTATTTTGATATCCGCTTATTCCTTTTCGACAAAAGAGATTTACATGATGAAAATGCAGGATGGAAAATATTGAATGATTTGTTATCAAATGATTTTAATTGTTATGATTTATGTTCTGCATTGCATATGACAAATCAGGTATTGAAATTTATGTTATATCGTCTGTTTTTGGAATTCCAAATTACTCATACATGGCTTAACAATGAAAAGAAGCTATATTTTATTTTTACTTCACGTTCTGACGAGTATGAGTATTTAACGAATTTTTCAATACTTGATGCTTTTGTTGATTGGCAGTAAAGGCCGGTTGAGAACTAATTGTACGGCAAAAGGAATAAAGTAATTGTTTCCTACATCAAAGCTATTGAAAAAAGTTAATTTAAAATTTTTCTTCGAATGTCCTACAAAGGAAAATACAAAGTTGTTAGAATATATTTGTAAAAGATGACCTCAGATATTTTCCATGTGTCGTTATAACTACTACTACTCCCCGTCTTCATATGGGACAATCACCGAATGGTACCCATAACCTTTTCGGAGCACATGAATCATTGGATTTTGGTGCTTTTTGTATTACTGAATTTTTAGTTTTCATTTTAGTGGACTGTTGTTTGCCTTCTGGTTTTTTGGGGTTTTTTGTTTTTGTTTTTTTGTTTTAATAAAAATGATGTCTGTATTTCTTCCACTTGTGTATTTCGACAGTCCCGTTGTATTGTTTCCTCTTTTTATGCCTAACTCTACAAATCTGTATGTCTTAAAAAAATGAACCTGACAGTGTCCAAGAGCACACTCACTAATGTCCTTCCGTAAAACGATCAAATTCTGCGTTAATTCAACACAGTGAGTGGTAATATTTTATTGTGGTATTTGATCAGGGTTGAGAAAATCTGGATATATATTTACTTGTAATTATTCAGGATATTCGGTCAGAACCAGTTAACCTACATGTCTTAGGATGTGAGTGAAAATTAAAAACGAACTGAAACCTCTAACATACACTTATAATGGTCACTTTCTCTGCTTTTCGGTACTGACATGGTTCATAACATACTTTTTATTAAACCCTGCGTAGATTAATTAAGAATTTATTCCAAAACCTTAATTGTTAATCGTAGATGAATTTGGCTATTCTTATTAGGTTCCTTTTGGTCAAATACTATTAGGTCCACACGTATTCTGGTATTTATACATCCTTTGCTTTCAAAAGTTTGGGATATAATCTTTCTGTTAAAAGTCAATACCGCTAATATATAAGTGCTTCGGACGCACGGTATTTTTTAAAGTGTTATTTCAAAATAATTACATTACATTATGTTTCATTATAATACGTTATTTTGATTGGCTAACAGCAATCTTGCGTCATTCTGAAATTAACCATCATTTCAAAATGAAATGTAACATTCATGATGACACGAGCTTCCACAATAAAGTGCACAGGTAAAAAAAAACAGAAAAAACTTGATAGAAATCGTGTTTTCATGATCCTAGCAAAAAAATGTAATTATAAGTATTGAATGCTTCTTTTAGTAATTTTATAGGGTTGTAAAAGCGTTGACCGTGCGAACATTTTTAGAATGAAGCGCTTCATACAAAATGTACTTCGGTCAACGCTTTTGCATCCCAATAAATTTACAAAAAGAAGCATTTAATTCTTTAATTATAGTTATCGAAAACAACACTTTATGAACTTCATGCGTCTGATCATTGGATCTGGAGTAAACTAGATACACCACATCTTCTTATATCTACAAACAGCTAATAAAAATCATTTCTCATGCAAGGTTTTTTTTCGAATTTCTAGCAACCAGAAAGTTCCGACTAAGTAGTCTTAGAATTCTTAAAATATCCTGATAATTTTTTGTGCATCTCAAAAACAATTTTTCTCTGTAATTTACTATATCAGCACACAAAACAAAAATGCAAATAATCGATTAAAAAATTACACAAATACAAAAACAGGTTTATGTATACTTAAGTTTGTAACTTTCATACGACTCTTTTTTCCATCGATAAGTGAAAGTGTCGTTTAAATAATCGTACAACATTTTATTATACGGTTCATAGAAATCGTATAACATATTCCTTGCTTTTTCTGTTAAAGGAGTGTAAATTGAGCTGGGTCCTTTATTGACGATATTCTTTTTCAATATATGTCTTTCGATCATTTCCGTCCTATTCAGTTGTTCTAAAATCAAATAAAAACAAAAGAAAACAAGAAATAAATAATGCCAAACACTCCTAAATACGTATTTGTTGATAAGGATCTGCTTACCCTTCCACTACTCCTAAGATCACCTCCGATTGTTGGTGGGGTTCGTGTTACTTAGTCTCTAGTTTTCTATGCTGGGCTTTGTATACTGTTGTTTGTCTCTTGGTCGTTTTTCGTTTTATTGCCATGGCATTGTCAGTTCGTTTTCGATTTATGAGTTTGATTATCTCTTTGGTATCTTTCGCCTCTCTTTCATAACTATATTATTGTGCATGATTCATATGGAATTGTACCGTCAGCTCAACTACTAAATATCAAGAGTATAACAATTTGCCGGAATTTACTTAATTCTAGATTTAGATGATATCGAGAGTCGAAAAAAAACCAAGATACAGTGTATCTACCAATCATAGCAAACATTCCAACTACTGTTAGAGATTATTTGTCGATTCTATTACTGTTCTTAGTATGCCTAACATTATGTTTGGAGTCTTGTGGTTCACGTTTCTTTCGATTTGAGTGTTTCTAATGAGTTTTAGGTAGACGAAACTCGTCTGCAGTTATAAATTAAAAGCTTGGGATCTCTGAGGAGTTTTTATGATTTACTTATAAAAAACGTTTAAAATAGCTCAGTAACAACGAATATATAAAAATGACTTGTTAAATTAATGTTATTCTTTTCATGTCACAGGTATTTCTTGTTAGTTTGATATTCTTTGGCAATTTACATAGGCAATGTTGTGTCTTCTGTTTCTGCTTTCTCTTTGATATAATTTCAACAGATTTAATATTCAAAGGTAAACAAATTATACTTGCTTATTTCCAGAAAAGAAAATATTCTGTTCATTGTCTCAAATTTGTTGTCTCTGTATTCCTCAAATGGTATAACGAGAAACTGATCTCTTGGAAAAACAGACATCCATCGTTTTATGTAGTAGTAATATAAAGCTTCCAGTAGGAAAGTAACAGAAACTCTCCATTTCAAACCTTCCTGAAAGTCAGACATTGAAATTAATTTGTGAAAAACTAAATTGTAAAACGTGGACAAATATATCATGTATGATCTACACACATATATATAGTTAAGCGTATGGTGTTCCTCTCTATTTATAATTCTTACGACAAAACAGTTCTGACTGTCAAAATCAATATTGATATCTTTAAATTCTAGTATTTTTTAAATTTCTATTTTGTGTGACTTGTGATGCAAGCATACCAATGTATAACGGAAGATGACCACTGGGTTTAAATCCATTCGGTATCAGTCGATTCAACTTATTTTCAATTTCATCTTTGTCTGTATTTAACCTGGACTTACCGATTGGAAGCTAGGAATGCGAAAATATGCTGAAACGCTAGGAGCTATACAACAAAAAAGACCTAAACAGATTGGTTAAATTCATCTAAGGTCAACTATGTCAGAGGGAGTTTGGACCTTATTTTCTTGATAATTTCTTAATTCATGAACTGGGAGTTTTGAATAAGTATATGTTATAAATCATGTTAGTACCGAAGCACTGCATGACAACTTAGGTGATGACACATTATTTTAGAAATACAACCAGTAAAAGAGACCAGATGTTCAACATTTTCCAATATTCTTACTTTTTATTGGAGGGTTTGGGGATACTTTTGTTTTTAAAACCTGATAGACAATATACTACATTTTTAGATCGATTATTCCAAAAATATCAAACTTGTTTGTCGATCAAAATGAAAACTGTCGTAAAAATCGGAAAGGTGAATTGCTTTGCAAGCTTACCTTTCTGGGAACTTGCCGTGTAATTTCTTTTAGGTTTTTGTTAAAATAAAAGAAGTACATGTACTATTGTTAAATACTTGATGTATATAAGAGAAAATTACCAAATGAGAAGCATTAGTCAAGGAGACATATTGCTGCGTAAATGATATTTTACATGCGCATCCTAATATGCAATCGAAGCATGACTGTATGATCAGATTGAATATAAGTGCATTAGAAAGACCATACACTGTGAATAATCGTGGATTGAATAATACTTTGACGAGGAAACATCCCAACAATTTAAAAATCAAGGAAAGATATGTAGACATGCAATTTTCGATTACTTACTGCATTCTTGTTTCAAGATTTCAAAAATGCAATAAATCATAATATCGACTACAATGTTATTGTTGTCGATATATACAAGTACGAAAATCTATGACAGGCGATAAGTAGACTCATTTGTTTAACTGAACTTAAAAAAATACGCCTTTTCATAAACGTAACTCTGCTTGCCCCTCCCCCAACTCATTTCATGGCGTTTCGTTTAAAAAAGAAGAGAAAATAAAAACGGGGAATGTGTCAAAGAGACAACAACCCAACCAAAGAGCCGAAAACAGCCAAGTTTTCTTTATAGAAAATCTATAACGATACAACCACAAAAATGGTATCACTTTTAGAGAGTTGTTTGTTTTTACCTTACACAATTGGAAAGAGTTACTGTACCATTAGGGCGGGAGAAGTAGTAAGTAACATTATTTATTTAGAAACAGTCTCAAAATTTTACGGAATACGATCATGTTTTGAAAAATGTCATGCGATTGAGCAAAAAGTGCGCACAAAATTTGGAAAAGAGGTCAGTTGGAATGAGTATTTTGTGTGAGAACTGCCAAATGATTATTATTTAGAACTATTTGTAAGGTTTTGTAGCTATTGTCAGGATATTACTTGACTAGCAACGAAAACAGCATCGTAATAGATAACTCAAGCGCTCCTTGCGTTTGATTAAGTTTAAAATTAAGAAGATTACAAAGTTGGGGTGGGGGAGGGGGGATGAGTCAAAATTATAAATCAAAGAACGATAAACAAAACTATGCCGAACAGAAAATATACGAACAACTTAAAAAAAAAAAAACGACACAAAGAAAGCAGTACATGTTCTTTTCCTTTTTATTAGGTTTAAGTTTTATGTCCATGCATTCAAATCATATTTCTCCTTCCTATAAATTTACAGTTTTGTTCTCTAGACAACAAGTTACAAAAATACCGTATAACATTTCTTGTATCAAACGAAACAACAATAATTTAGTTATGAACATAAAAGAAGAAGTAATTTCACAAAAGACAACCCGATAAGTATAATAATACACCACTTTATAAAATAATGCTTTTTGATACAACC